GGATTTTTAGCCATTTTAGTAGACCGATCTACAAAACATCAAACGAAGCAGAAAATAATCAGACTATGGAATTTATATTCATTTAATATTAGGTCTATAACGTTAAATGTCTCCCACTATTTTAATTAAAACCCCTATTTTAATTATGAAAATCTAATTTTCATAGTGAGCTTGATGTCCAATAAAAATATTCCATATCCCAATTTTATGAGTACGCATGAAACATTTATATCGGTAGTTAACTTTTGACAATTGTATCAACTATACAACCTTAAAGATATTTTGCCTCACATTTCCTTATATACCTCAATTTTATGACCGTATATATTACTAAGTGTCAAATCAAACCCATCAAACATTCATGATAACGGCCCACCAGAATGTCCCACGACTCATGGTCAACACAAAGAGGAATCCATCTTATGAGTATCTCTTATACTTAGTAGGGATCACAGCTTTCGACACAAAACCACCCCACGACTCATGGTCGGTGATAAAGCATCGTAGCATCTCATGTTGTCTACTTTTGATGGAAGGCCTGGATTAATAAAAACCAACTTATTTTTATCCATTATTGATTTGATATAAAATTAATCAAATTAATTCTTTAGGGTTCCTTAGATCTCATCAATTACCATATTTACGTGTGTTTATTTACCACATTATTCATCGCATGAATCACAAGCATAAATAAACCTAACATACATCTAATGCATGCAGACGGTGGGATGATCATGTCCTTGCCTATACGACCCATTCGAGCCAAAATGGGTCTATGCCTATGTACGTGATAAAACAAATAAATAGAACTACTTCTATTACAATTTATTTTATCTACCCGTACAAGCACAGGCCTTCGAGATTTACAACTTGTAAAATTACCCACACATGCGTGGGCCTTTCGCATCGAACGGCCTCCACCTTGATCTAATCTTATAACGATACAAAAATTTAAAATTTTACAAATCATAATTCAAGAGACTCGCAGGTCTCGATAAATTACATTTCTTCAATCTCATTGTATAAAATGCAACATTAAAACATGCAATCATTCATTCATAAAAGGCTCATGATCATCCCTAAATCAACCATGTAAATTCACTAATTTAATATGTTGATGTAGTAATGACTCATATTAAGTCAAAACAGCTCGTTTCTGATCAAAAATCAATCACACGACTCGTGTGACAAATCACACAACTCGTGTGGCTCACTCACACGACTCGTGTGAAAAATACAAAAGTGACTATGAAAAATTTTGAAAAATATTAAGTCACACGACTCGTGTCACACCTCACACGACCCGTGTGAGGTGACACGACCGATCACACGACTCGTGTGACTCCTCAAACGGGTCGTGTGACCCCACACAACCTGTCACACGAGTCGTGTCATCCTGCATGACTCGTGTGTTCGAATACTCTATTTGATTTTTAGTCCAGTTCGTGTTTTTAATAATTTTTCAAATCAAAATCTGATTTTAAAGATGCTAATCGTAACGTGGCTCTAATACCACTGTTGGGTTCGATATACTGTACGGAACAAAGTTTACAGCGGAATTTAAAATTTTATAAGTATTATCTTATAAATACTTATTCCGTACATAAGTATAACGAGATAACGAATAAGCATCATTTAAAATCTAGTAACTTTTACTAATTTTGATTTGATATGCAATTTATAAAAATTACCTTTGTTCTTGAACTTATTCAAAACCGACAATGTATGAGGAATTCAATTCCCGGTTTGGTAACGATCACTTCTTGTTGTTACTCACTTTAGGAATCCAAATGTCTTCCCTCTAATCGTATCCACCTTTTGAACTTTGGTTCCGACTATAGTTTCTTCGCTAGTAGAAACTATTCGGTTTTTCAAGAAGTATAGAATATATATTTATAAGGAAATTTTTCAAGAACACTTTCTTGTATTATCATTCAACTCTTTGAATGAATTTTCTCTTGGAAGAATTTTGCTCAAAACTTAGCAATTAATGTGCAAACATTTTGCACCTATTTATACAAAACATTTTAGCATAAAATAATCAATATTTGATATATTTTATTTTAAATAAAATCAAATTTTATTTAAATAATCATACAAAATATTGACTTTTAATTAATAATGTGGAGTGGTTTATAACCACCACTATTGTTTTAATAAAAATAAGATTAATTATGTGGATTGGTTAACAACTCCAAACCACCATAATTAATTTATTCTTATTAATATTTAATCTTCAATCATATTAAAGATAAATAATAAAATAATAATTCTTGAAAACATTTTTCAAGACTTTATTCTTTTAATCTATTCTTCCATTTCCTTATTTAATAATCTTATTATTATTTGGATTTGAAATTTAAATTCAATTTTAAATTCTAACTATTATTTAGTAATTCTATTAATTACTAAATTAATATCCAAAATTTAATTAATTAATCTCATTAATTAATCTAATATATTCCTTTAATTGATATCTAATCAAATTAGATTTGTCAATTAATTCTAACTCTTTAGAAATACTATTTGAATTTTACCTTCATTCAAAAATTGGTCTACCTTTTAGGTTCACAATTAATACTAGTAGTGGGTTTACAACACTTTGTAATTTAAGTTATTCATATTAACTCTTATTCTTGAATTAACTCTTTAATTCAAGAACCCACATATCTTGGGAACATCTAGCAAGTAGCATGAATCTAGTATTAAGTGAATAGCGAGTAAACCTATTTCGATTACAAGTCCATACATGTAAAATCCTTTCGACATCCAATTTCCCGATTAAATCTTTGGGTATGATTTTGTCAAAATCCAAATTGATTTAATAACTACGATTCCATTTCAAGTTTAGTAATTTGTTTATGAATCTCTATTCATCCCGCCTTGGCCAAGGACTTGAATTACTAACTATGAAACACATAGGAAATTCACTTATCTTCATAAGTGTCGAATCCTTTGTTGGCCACTGACAAACTTCCATACATATTAATATAATACCCAACATATCCCTTTATACGATTATGCCAGCAATCAAAAGGATAAATCAAAGTAAAAAATAATATGCACAAAGTTACCATCGTGCCTCAAGTCTAAGGATTAATCATGTACTATTGTAACATGAAAATTCTTATTCGACATGATAAACTTTCATTAAGAATTTTCATACGGTCATGTTCAGTGAACTTATTCTCTAACAAGCACCCACATATATGTATTTGCGTCCCACGCTAATGTTGATGGAATGCGACATTCTTATCTAATAAGCATACATACTATGTGCAAGTCTTTTCTGGATTTATTCGATATCCCATCTCGAAACATCCAACGACTTGGAACTGTATTTAAGATCACAGCTTTCAAGATATGTTCCATGATCACCATCTCTATGCGCAACCATATCTTATAGCTATAAGTGATCTAGGGACTTTTATCTTAAGTGCAAATATATGATAAATGCTTACTCTTAAAATAAAGTAATGCCTTATTATTTAATATAATTCCAAAAGATTGTTTTTACAAGTAGAATATGTCCAATCCGATTGGAACGCCGGGTATACTACTCTAACAATCTCCCACTTGCCTTAGTTCCAACCACTCATGTATCTTAGACCTATCTTCTCAAGATGTCCTTCAAACACTTTCTGTGATAAAGGCTTAGTTAAGGGGTCTGCTATATTTTCTGCTGAGTCGACTCGCTCCATTACGACGTCGCCTCTACCAATGATTTCTCTAATCAAATGATATCGTCTCATAATGTGTTTGGATCTTTGATGAGATCTTGGTTCCTTTGCTTGCGCAATAGCCCCATTGTTATCACTATAAATCGTTATTGGATCAACAAAAGATGGTACTACACCCAACCCTTGGATGAAGTTCCTTATCCAAACAGCTTCCTTTGCAGCATCAGATGCAACAATATATTCAGCCTCTGTTGTAGAGTCAGCAATCGTTTCTTGTTTGGAACTTTTCCAACTAACTGCTGCTCCAATCAGAGTGAATAAGTATCCAGACATGGATTTATAGTCATCTTTATCGGACTGAAAACCAGAATCAGTAAAGCCTTCTAGTTTCAGTTCTCCATTTCCATACACCATAAAGGTATCCTTAGTCCTTCTCAAGTACTTAAGAATCATCTTAACGGCTTTCCAGTGTTCTTCACCTGGATTGGACTGATATCTGGAAAAAATTGCACCATTAGTCCACTAACTTTCTCCTAGTTGGACTTTCGTCCTTTATTTGTTTCCGGTTTATAAATGGTACACTATTTTTTTTTTTTGGCAATTTTGGTCCAAAATCACATTCCGGTGACCATTTTGCTGATGTGGCTCCCGGAGCAGCTTATGTGGCGCTTAGTCATCCTGGAATTTCTTGTCAGCTCCTGATGTGTTACAAGCTGGGCCCACCATTTTGACACTATGCAAAAATAATATTAAAAAAGTAGAAAAAAAACACATAAAAAAAAATATATAATCCACATCATATTTCATTAAACAAAATAAAAAAAAAATGAATTGGGGATAAAAATTCGAACACGGGAAAATTCCTCTTTCAATCTCCATTCTGAAGCAAAAAAACCCTAAGAATGAGAAGAAAGCTGCCATATCCTTCCACATAAAATCGATCAAAGACCCTCTCACATAAAATTGATCAAACAGACGAAAGCTTCCATATTCCTTCAATCAGGAATCGAAAATGGTGATGAAAAGAGATAAGAAACACTCCACCTTACCACCTCCTTTATATCGTGAGTTTTTTCTTTCTGTAATTTGAAATCACTACTGAATCGAGTTTCTGTATTTGTTTATATGTTTAATAATTTGTTGTTTCTTGGCCCACAGACCCGGATTCTAGTTCCCTTACTGTCGTGGTGCATCATGGAGGTGTCTTCCAGAACTATCCCACTTTAAGTTACATTGGGGGTTCAAGAACTGTTCTCGACTATGTGGAGAAGGTACACATGAACTTAAGTCGCTTTACTACATTGGCAGATGAGATTATAGGTACTGGAAAGAAAAAAATTTCAGATTGATTTTTATGGTCGTCTGAGTCTTGTCTGCGATGATAGTGATCTTTTGGTGGGTTTTACGGCTGCATTGTCTTGTAGAGAATTGCATCTTTATGTAGAAAACATTGTCAATGAAGTTGAAGAGTCTGTTGATAGTGAGTATTGTTTGGGGAGTGACTCTGAAAATGATGATGAGCTATTTTATCACCATGTTGATAATGTAACTTCAGTTGAGCATTCTGTTGATGAGCTATCTGGTGTGGGTATATCTGTTGAAAGACCAACAAGGGAAGATGTTAGGGATTTTGATATGGCTGGCTCATCTAGAGATTCTGATAGGGATTCTACTAATAGTGATGGGTTTCTGAGTAGTGAGGATGACATTGTGGATGACAAAGATGACTTTAATGAGCATAGGTTGTCTGATGATGAGGGAAATGGTGAATCAGCCCATGTATTTAATGTTGCTCAGATTTATGATCCCACCTTCAAACTTGGGATGTTGTTTAGCAGCAGAGCTGAATTCAAAAAAGCAGTCGATTCTTATGCTATTAAGATTAAAAGGACTCTGAAGTTTACTAAGAATGATAAGTACAGAGTTTATGTGAAATGTGGTTATGAAGATTGCCCTTGGATGATTAATTTGATTCAGGTGAAGGACTTAACCTCATACAGGATTCACAAATTTCTTGATGACCACAATTGTCCTCCTACATTTGATGTAAAAAATGTGAAAGCACCTTGGCTGACAGGTAGATATCTTGATGATTTCAAGACTGATCCAAACAGAAAAGTGAAGCCATGGAGGAGGGAAATAGTTCACAAGCTTGGTTGCCATGTTTCTATGTTTCAGGCTTATAGGGCTAGAAGAAAGGCATTAAAGATTGTGGAAGGGTGCCCTGACTATCAATTCACCAAAATGTAGGATTACAGAGAAGAACTTCTTAGATCAAATCCTGGTTCTACTGTTATTTTGGGTACTGATTATGCTGAAAATGGTGAGAAGAGGTTCAATAGATTCTATGTTTTCTTCAGTGCACTTAAGAAAGGCTTTAAAGCAGGTTGTACGCCAATCATAGGAGTTGATGGTTGTTTCTTAAAAGGGCCTCATAAGGGAATTTTACTCGTAGCTGTTGGTGTGGATCCAAACAATAATCACTACCCTCTGGCATATGCCATTGTGTCTTCAGAAAATGGGGAGACTTGGGAGTGGTTTTTGATTCTCTTGAAGAATGACCTAGAAATACAAAACCAGCAAGATTGGACCTTTATTTCAGACAAGTAGAAAGGCCTAATCCAAGCTTTCAGATCTGTTTTTCCTGATTGTCACCACAGATTTTGTGTGAGACATCTCCATAACAACTTTCAGAATGCTGGTTTTAGAGGTCTAGATTACAAGAAGGCTCTTTGGAAATGTTCATTGGCAACTACTGTTGGTGAATTCAACCACTGCATGGATGAGTTGAGGGAACTAAGTCCAGAAGCAGCAGATTGGCTCAGTGACAAACCACCATCAGAGTGGAGCAAGTCACATTTCAGTGAAGGCTCCAACTGTGACATGGTACTAAATAATGTCTGTGAGACATTTAATGGAAACATACTGGAGGCCAGGGATAAACCTATGCTAACTATGTTGGAGTGGATTAGGCAATATCTAATCACTAGGCTTCAAAAAAATAGGGATAAGGCTGCAAAAATTTGAAAGGATGGGTTGTGTCCAAAAATTAAGGACATCCTTTTAGGGAATATTGAACAGGTGGGTAATTGTATTCCTCTGAAGTGTGATCATGCAAACTGGGAGGTCTCTTGTTTCAATGGTGGGCAATTTAATGTCAATCTTGATCTAGGAACTTGTACTTGCAGAAAATGGGGCTTGACTGGAATACCTTGCCCACATGCTTGTAGTGCTATGTTTTTGGCCAAAATGGACCCATTTGATCATGTTGCCAATTGTTATTTTGTTGATACATATAACAAAGTTTATGGACCAGCTATAATGGGCATTAATGGTGAGATGCTGTGGGATAAGAGTTTGTATATTCCACCATTGCCTCCAAACTTTGGCAGAGGTGTGGGAAGACCAGGTAATTCTAGAAGACTTGAAAGTGATGAGAGACCTTGTAAGAAGAAAAAACAAGGCAAGGTAATGGATGGTCAGAGACTTAGAAGGCAATAAAAGAGTGTGAAGTGCAAGAAATGTGGTGTTGTGGGCCATAATAGCAAAACATGTGATAGGAGAGCCTCCAATGAAGAAGCTGGGATGAGTTCAAATGATGTTCAACCACCTCCTACATCCACAGCTGCATTGGAGTCTAGGGTAAAATTCAAAACCTGTTATTTTAAATTTCTCTGTATTACTTCAACTTTGTGATATTATTTCTTTGTATTTTAATTTTCTCTGTATTACTTCAATCTCATATAGGATGGTGTTGGAGGCTCAGTGCACATGACAAAGAAACAAAAACAACATCCAACATTATTGCCCCCTGTTTTTGAAGAAGCTGAAGAGATTGAGGTACCCATTCTCACACAAATGTCTCAGTCCAATACAACAACAACCACAAACACAAACATTGAAGGACCATCAATGTGGGATCAACTTAAGAAGGGAAGAACAAGAGGTCCTCCAGTTGATGACTCTAACCAGAAGAAGTTTAAACATTTGTCACAGATTTAAGAAGTTTGAACAGTTGAAGGCTTGTTTTGCGATCTAAGTGCTGTTTTTGTAGTAATATATGGTACATTGTCTTCTTTTGGAAATTCTGGAGTGGATGTGGTATTAGAACTTGTTTTGAGAGGATTTGATTTGGAGTTAAACCTCTTGTTTTGTTGGGTTATGAACTTCTTTGGGCAGTTGATGTTTGTGTAACCTGTGTGTTGTGTTAACAAACATTTGTTAAACTCTGTTTTGTGTAGTAAGTGCTGTTTTTTGTAGTAATATATGGTATATTGTCTTCTTTTGGAAATTCTGGAGTGGATGTGGTATTAGAACTTGTTTTGAGAGGATTTGATTTTGAGTGAAACTGTAATATCCCGACTTTTTATCAATATAAATAATATTTTAGTTCCGATATTATTTTTTCGGAATTAATTATTTTCAGTTATTTCAGTCGGAATTACCGAAAAATATTTTCGACGTACCGTTTACGTTCGGAATAA